TGAAGCGTTCAGCATCTATAAAGTCATCTAAGCCTGGGCTGCCGCCGGCGCCGCCGCCGTACGAGGCGAAGCCGCCACCATTGCCGCCGCCCCCGCCGTTCCGACCCGCGGCGCCGAGTTCATCCTCATCCATAGCCTGGAGGACATGACACGGACAGAAATCCTTGCTTGAGAAGTGTTATATTATAATAAAGGCCATAATAAAGGCTATTGAAGTTAGCATTCAAGGGAAAGAGCTGATTAGCGAATGAGCGATCAGCTGCATGAGAAGTGCACCCTATAAATTATTCCTTGAAGCAGGAAAAAGGTGGAAACTTTCTGGAGGCGTTTGGCTGGGCCGATCTGCCAAGGGGATGTAAAATCAAAGTTCCGGAATTCTTGTTCTAGCTTTTTCCTGCCAAAAATTTTGCCATTTTTCCACTTTCGTCGAACTCAAGAGCAAGCAGCAGCGCAAGGTGAATCAACGCAGCAGCGACGACAGCAGCAGTACCAGCAGCAGCGCATGTTATGTAAAAAAACATAACAGTGGGGGATGGATGCTGAATTGCATGTGGTTGTGCTGGCGGTTTGGAGGTTTGGCGTGACGGCAAATGGAGCCCAAGCCCCGAGGATGGCCCTGCGGATGGCTGTAGACGACGGCAACACACTCACTACTAAGGAATCACTGGATTGCCAGGCTTGGGCCGCCTCGTCTGTTAATGCCCGTGTAATATCCTACACGAAGGGCAGCTTTATTGCACACACAGACACACCTGCAACAATTCGTCCGCTATGGCCACCGCTGTCGCCTCCGCTGTCGCCTCTGCAAGTGCAGCTGCCTGGTAATTGCCAGCTGCAACGTTGAAGTACGACGACACGTCCAGACCGCCTCCGATGCCGCTCCCGCCGCCAGCGGGCCAACACAGCTGGCCCTGTGCCGCGGTCGTGGTGACGGCGCCGCTAGGCGAATGTTGAGCACCGAGCGGCACAGGCAGCCCGGAGAACGTGGCGGCGGCGGCGGCGGCGCTGGTGGTGGTGCCGCCGCCAGCGCTCCTGTTGCCGCCAGGCACACCGCCGAAATGCATGGCCCCCTGTGGCTGTGTAAACGCGTCGTACGGCAGCTCCAACGGCCCTGTAATCCCCTGCCCTGGACCGGGGCCCCGGCCCAGCCCCAAGCCCACCGCCGCGGCCGCGGCTGAAGGCCGTGGCGGCGGCTGCCCTTCCGCCGTCAGCAGCAACATCCCAGAAACACCCCCCTGGCCATGACCCAGAAAACCATACTGGTGCTGCTGCTGCTGTTGTTGTTGAGCGCGTTGCTGAAGGGACGCGGGCAGTCCGGCAAAGGGCGCGGAAACCGTAGGTATCCCTGTCGTCGACGTCGTCAACGTTGACGGCAGTGATGGCTCGTGCCCCTGCTGCAGTAGCAGCTGTTGCTGCTGCTGCAGCGGCGGCGGCGGCGAATGGTCGAGCTGGAGAACTTGCGTAGGATGTGGGAGCAAGCCCGGCGTCGCCGTCGTCGCGGCGGCGGGACCTGCCGCTACCGCCGGTGCAGCAGCAGCAGCAGAAGCGGGCCGCTGCAAAGCGGCGCCGGCAGGCCCGCCCAGCGAAGCAGCGGATGGAAGACGTCGTACGGCATTGCTGCCGCTGCTTGCAGGCCTGCCGCCACCGGCGCCGCCTGCTATGTTGGAGGTATCGGCAGCAAAGCCGGCCGACGGGACGGACGGAACCCCTGGCGTAACGCTGCCGCCGGCGGAGATACGGCGTCCACTTTGCATTTGCGCCGCCGAGTGCGACGCTAAGCCTCCGCCGCCACCACCGTGTAGCAAGTTTTGCAACAGACCAATGGTACCCGCGCCCGGAAGTTCGCCAACCGCCGGCGACGTCGGCCGTGCCAACGATCCTGCCGGAGGGGGCCCCGCCGCCGCCGCCGCCGTGTTTGTTGCAGGTGCCGGCGCCATGCCCGTCCCCGAACCGCCGCCACCCCCTCCCCCGCTGCCCCCCGATGTGAACACATCTCCCCACCCCGGCTGCTCCTGATGGTACGCAGACTGAGATGACCGCTGAAAGGTCGGGTGCGGCAGCAGCAGCTGCTGCTGCACAGGCGGGTGAGCATGAGGATGAGGATTGAGGAATGAGGGTGTCGGTTGGAGCTGCTGATCCTGCGGCGACGGCGGCAGCGTACCTCCGCCGCCGCCGTACCCGGAGGCCGGACTAGCCAAGCCACTGCCGCTGCGGCGGCCCCCGTCGCCGCCGCCGCTGCCGCTCAGGTTTCCTACATTCAAAAGGAGGCCTTGCGGCGGCCACGGCGTAGCTGCCGCCGCCGCCGCCGCCGCCGCGACAGCGCCCGGTGCCGCCGCCGCTGGGGCGCCGCCAGCGTTAGCCAGGTCGCCGGTGCTAAGGACCGAGGGTGAGCGCAGGAAGAGAGAGGAGGAGCCGTCCCTGGAGGCGTCGCGGCTGGGGATGAGGCTGGGCGGTGCGGCGCTGCTGCCACTGGGTTGCTTCGACAGCAAGCCTGCCATCACCGCACATATGTATGTATATATATCATACATATACGCATACATACATACATACATACATACATACATACATACATACATACATACATACATGCGTACGTACGCCACACCACAAACAAGCCAGGGGAGCAAGGAGAGAAGGTTAAAATGCAGAACTTGACAGGTTCCGCTAGAAACGTAAATCAGAACGGCGGGGGGGGGGGGGGGCGGAAGGCGAACCACGAACGAGTGAAGAAGCTGCTGCTGGCGGGGAGGAGGAGGAGAACCCGGCATGCACGAACCATGTCCGGGAAAAGGAGAGAGGGAGGAAAAAAATATTGCCTCTCTGCGCACCGCGCTGGGGTCCGAGGCTTGCTGGGCGCCAACAGCCCTGTAACCAGCCCTACGCACATTCCTTTTGAAAGTCGGCACCTAACTCTTCTTGCACTTAAATTCCATCAAAATCCAGTTTTAAACCCCGACTTGTTTTGTTGTTTTGTTTCGAATTAATTTCAAAATTAATGAAACTCATATTCCGGCGTGGGCATAGTCTCCTGTGTCGTACAGGTGTACGACACGGGAGACTGCACTACTGTGAAACTTGACTTTGGGGTTTAGGTCTCCCCGCCCTCCCCAATAGCCAAGGTGAGCCCAGAACGATCTTACATCGGCCGTCCTGCGAGTGCAGCGCCGTTCCGCCGCCGTCGCCGATGGCAGTGCTGCTGCCGCCGCCGCCGCCGCTACTGCTTCGCCGATGTAGACCATTGCCCACACTCAAGGGACGCGGTAGCGCAGATCCTGGTCGCGGCGGCTGGTACACAATCTCGTCCTCCGCCACGTCATCGTCACCGCCTCTGCCAGCAGCGGCCCTTCCGCCGCCGTGGCCGGTGCTGCCGCCGCCGGTAGCACCCGCTGCCGCCGCCGCCGTCGGAGAATCCCCATTGGAGGTGCGATGGCGTTGAATTGTGGCGGCGGGCTGTCCTGGCCCTGGCCCGGATTGTTGGGCCTTACGCGCGACATTATTGGCACTGGCCATGGTAGTGGCGGCGACGGCGGTTGCGGCAGCGCCGCTGCCGTTCAGCATCCGGGGCAGTGGCGGCGGCGGCGGAGAGGGATGTGGCGAACCGGACAGCTGTTGTTGTTGCTGCTGGTGCTGGTGCTGCTGCTGTAATGATGATGACGTCGTCATGCCTGTGGTACGAACTGCGTCTGTCGCAACGGCTGTAGCCCTTCCGCCGCCACCAGCCGGTTCGGCGCCCACAGCATGCATCACACGTTGATCAGGGTAATGAAAGCCGGTGTTGTGTACCTGCTGTAGCTGTAGCTGCTGCTGCGGCGGCGGCTGCACATCATTCTGCAGTTGTTGTTGTTGTTGATGTTGTAGCTGCTGCTGCTGTCCATGCGCCGGCGGCGCCGGCCGCTGCTGCGAATGATGGTGATCAGCGTTGCCGCCGCCGCCGCCGCTACCGCCAGCAGCAGGTCCATGGGATCCATGCGCCGCCGGGCCGTTGCCGTGAGCTGAAGATACACCCTGGTGTCCATGTCCATGCCCGTGTCCCTGATGTCCGGGCGTGTAGCCGTTATGCTGGCCTTGGTGGCCGCCGTGCGAGGCAGTAGCCTGTGGCCCATACGTGTGTGCGGCGGTGGCCTGCGCCACGGCGTTTCGGAGGCCCCGGGCGGCGCGGAGCAGCTCCTGCGACAGGGAGGAGCCCGGCGG